CACGGTGAGAATGTGAAATCAGTTGAACTGTATTCATATGGGCTCTACATAATTGAGACTATGTTACGAAATTTATTTCGAATTCTATGCGTAAAAAAAAAAGAAAAAAAAGGAAAAACTAAACTGCCTATATTTAAATATTACAATTTTATCAGTAATTATAGCCCAATTCAACAATGTTGTGTATATATATGGTCTAAAATTTAACACCTAAATACTTTATGATTTAATTTAAAGTTCAATCTAAGCTACAAATCCCAGACATAAATGTTGAAAATTGACAACAATATCGCGTTGTTCCCGCGTAAAAGTCAAAATGACGTTGACTGACAATTAGTATCACAAATATCGTTAATGACAACAGATTCGAATTGAACACCTAATTTTAATTAACACCTACAATTTGGAGTAATAAGTTGTCAATATTTAATTGCATCAAATCAATATTAAACAAGTTTTTAATTGTATGATTAAAAGTCATTTTTGGTGGCTTAATCCCATTGGACCACTAATCCTTCTATGGGCCCCATTTCTAATTAAAAATTGATTAAATTTGAAATCATCCTTTCTCATCAAAATTTTCTATATTATCTCAATTAACTTTGCGAAAATTGCAGCTTTCGTCCCTCAAATTTGTATCGATTCCGCATTCGTCCTTCATGTTTATATATAGCACATTTGGTCCCTCCTCCCTCATGTTTCATAAATTGAACATTTTCAATCATTTTCATCAATTTTTTGTTAGTACTAACGAAATCAAGCGTGTGCGCATCACTGTCTTGAATTGACGGACTAACGATAAATTGATGGAAATTGCTAAATTATCGAAAGATAAGAGATCAAATCTGAAATAAGTACAAACTTGAGGTTGAATTTGTAATATTATTCCCAAATAACTTTATTTTATTATGGACACAAGAGTCTTCTCCAGCTTTCATATGATGTATCACCATTAGTGCATTAAATAGTCTTAATTAATCAATAAAGACACTTTAATACAAGCAAGTGACACATATAAAAAACTTATAGTGCACAATCAGCTCCATATCATACTTAATTTAATCCATGGTTAAAGTAATTAATCTTTGATTAATGAGCATTATCTTTGTGTTAATGAAAATATCACAGATTTGCCACCAAAAACATATGACAGGGGACAGTGTTGTCACTTGGTTGTCTGATTCCAAACACATCATTAGCTTTTCTTGATTTAGATATAATTCATATAATTTAATCATTACTTTAATTATCACCTTAATCACAATTAGTTACTATAATTTATTCCAATGTACCATTTTATGTTTATTTATTATCTGACAAATTGATCATGTTGGAAGATAAAATTAAATCATTTGCATACTAGATGAATGTGGTAGAAATTAGTAATTAAGGTCAATCATAGTTATTAAACATGATCCATACATACTAATTGATTATGTTGTGGCCGGCTAAACATTTAATTTAATCATTAGTCTATATGGGCACAATATAAAATTTTGTATTAATTAAGGCCAATTATTAATTTTTTTTGGGCGAAGTTGCTTACTCGTAACTAGAAAATTAGGTTTTGGATTTTTTATTATTTATTTGGCATCTCAAGCATCGAATGTGGTACGGTTCCACGTCACGTTTTGCAATTCCTCTCTCGCACTTCTTGATCTTTCTCGTACGCACTACCTGCATCACAAAGGTTCGGTTCCACGTCACGTTTTGCAATTCCTCTCTCGCACTTCTTGATCTTTCTCGTGCGCACTACATGCATCACAAAAAGTTTTCAGGGTACTGGGATTGGTCCCGGCGGATACCGTCCGACGCTCAAGTCAGCTCTGTATGATAGAATAAAACTGAGAATTTAAGAGATTGCTCGGGAGTTATGAATTGCATACCTTTGATCGTTATGTTTTCGGGGTATTTATATGGAGACGTATATTTTCATGGACCTAAGCCACTTAACTTGGGTCGACTTGAGCCTAACTATTTAGATCATGGTCAATTTGAATATTAGTCAATTGAACTTGAATTAAATCTTTAGTCGATTTGGACTTGGTTTGTGTGCTCTATGGGCTTCTCGATATGGGTTTTCGGCTTTCGGATGCGGGCCTATTATACCTCCTTTAAACTCTACCTAGTAATCCTAGAAAATTATTTAATCCAAGCAAATAATCGAACATATATATTTTTTTTTATGATGAAGGTTAATATTATTTATTTAATTTATAAATTGAAACAAAAAAAGAAAAAAGAAAAAGAAAAAGGGGATTAATTGGGCCATACACGTCATAATCAATAGTTGCGGTGAATAGATTAATCAGTGATTGGCGTCTATTACGGCGACGCCAAAGTATAAATAAATTAGAAAAGTAAGACCACTCTACTACGGGAACGGAGGTGGGCCCCACCCCTACAATCCCCCACAGCTCTTAGTGGACCCCACTTACTCTGACATGGGACCCACTTCTTTCCCGAGCCACCGCCATCAGCCAC